CAGTAAATAAAAGATTTCATTAATATTTCCCCCCAAATTTCAAAAGTCTTCAACATCTTAACTTGGAAGCAGGCCTTATTATATCAAGTGATTTAACACTGTAGAGGTATATGTAAAACAGAATGAAAGGATTTTAAAATATCTGCTGTGGACTTTAAATAACCTTTCTCCTAATAACATATATATATATATATGAATAAGAACATAAACTCCATTAATTCATATTTTTCTCAAACGTTATGACATGGTCTAGAGCTTAGTAAACCTCTTCTTAATAAAGTAATAATGTAAATAGGGTCTTGCAAGGAATATTGAAAATACTTAAGAAAACAAACTTTTGAAACACCCCTAGTCCACAGGGGATGTCACCTACATACAGTTGGTTTACTAGGTAGAACGAGCTCATTAAAATAGCTCCAAGAGGCCAGTAATAGTTAGACTAGACAGAGGATGTGCTTTAAAAGTAATGAAACTCTATATCCTTAAATATATTACATAATTAAGATTTCCAGTTAAAAACACCTAACCTTTCCCCCAATAAAGAGGTTTTATTGTATAGAGATAGATATTAATACACCATACTCCGAGTACTGATGCCAAAAGGCTACTCAAATTCAGCCTTCTGGGATTTTTGCCTTTGCTTTGCTCCTTACCCACCTCTTAAAGGTCACAATTCAACATACTCAATTAAAGTTAGGGAAGGGCCTTGGGCCCTAAGTGCTCATGATTCTGGTCAGAGGACTGCATCTTTGTCACAAGCTACCTGACAGACATTTTTTTGTGACCTTAAGTGAGCCTTGGATTCTTGCTCTCCTACCCCGAGCTCTACGGTGTTTCATTCTATGGGACGCAACAGGATTTGGGCAATGCCAGGTTCAACAAAGGTAAGCACCCTTTGCTGCAAGACCTCGTGTGGCCTTCAGTGTGGAAATGAATCTTTGAGAAAGAGGTGGTACGGATCATCTCCTCAATTTCCTCAGCTCAGAAGCCTTTCTGGTGAAACAATGTATAGGACCAGGTTCTTTAGAAGGCACGCTAGCAACACCAGGATAATACACCCACTGCCATCAGCAAAGTACGGTGGGTGTGCGGATCAGCCTGAATCCTCTCAAGGGCAGCGTTGTCCCAAAGAGCTAGTCGAAACTTCTGGGGACCTTACCACCTGGCCCCTGCTTATCGCCCAGCCCCGACCTCATTTATCCTCATACTCTGTCCACTCACACTCCGGTGAGAGGACACTGTTGGTGGATCTGCTGAAACCACAGGCCTCAGGGCCTCGCCCTGGCTGTTTCCCAGCTCTCACTGCATATCTGCCAACAACCTTTGCTTGCCTTCTTCTACTCAGCTTTCAGAGTGAGTTCTTCCTAGACCTCCAAGCATGCACCCCGAAGCCTCTTTTATGTGTTCCCATACCCACTTTATCTCAGTCCCATCACTGAATCTCCTGCTCTGAGTCTGGTTGGCCATCTCTGAGGTTGAGACTATATTCTGTATACCCTGTTATGCTGTATTCCAGGTGCCTACACAGAAGGCCATAACTTTATTTGTGGAATTATTGAAGTGACAGCTCTTGCTAAACAGCTGAGGGCACACCCCCTGCTACTAGTAATTCAGGACTACCTAGGCCCACTCTGTGGACCTTTATTAATGTTTGCTTACTCACAGTGGAGATCAGAGGGTTCCTACTCTACCTTATCACCAAGTAGGTTCTTAAGGTATAATTATGAAGCCAGTTCTATCGATCCACTGTAATAGGGAAGTAGAAGTGGCACATATACTGAAGTTTCTATACAAAAACTTTTTCTTATCACTAAGACACTGGGTCCTGTCAGATGGACATGGGAGGATGACGCAGAGTTGGCCTAAAGCAAAGGGAATCTAGTTCAACTCCTTAGAACTGTCAACTTTGGCTCAGAGCCAGAGCCTCAGGACAACCTCGTACAGGTACTTATTCATCAAGCCCTTCTTCTCTTTGGCATCCAGAAAGATATCATCAGAGTCTGGGGATGTAGCCATGTAATTGCTTTCGCATCACTGCTACGGCATCTCAGATTCCTTCGCCATTCTAGAGCACCAGCACTGATGATGTGTCCATAGCTTTGAGCTGGAAGTGCTGCTCGGTAGCAGGCTCTCGCAAAAGATAAAGATGGTCACGCTATCAGAGTACTTGGTAGGGAGAAGAGACTAAAATTGCTTCCCCTGGATTTGGACTTCCTTTGACTTCCAAGGAGTTCTTCGTTTGGTGACCAACAAAACCGGCAACTATTGTACTTACAGGGATATATCATGAGAGTCGAGAAGTAGCCAGCATAAAGGCCTCTGATTCTTCTAAGGTCACTGGAGTAGATTAACATCTCAAATTCGGGTGACTTGTCTGTGTTACTCAAGACTTGTCTTGTTCACTTCCTGCTTCTTTCTTCTAATTGTCCTGCACAATTAGGATGGGGTTTCTGATCTTAAGTATGTCACAGTAGAGTACTACACAAATCAGCATCCCCCTCCCCCAGGCCCCCCATTGGCCACCCCTCAGTTTTATAGTCCTCCCACTCCCCCCATTTTGATTTTGGAGCTTGTGGCTGCTATTCCTACACTCTTCATGAGATAAAAGATAGATGCATGTGTGTGTGTGTGTGTGTGTGTGTGTGTACACACATATACACCCATGAGCAGTCAACCTTTCTTTTTTATAGAATCTACTCATGCACTAAACTTGGGCAGCAAACTATACTGTGGCTGTACAAGAAGAATGGCTCCATTTGTCATTGGGCATTTCTGAGGTAAATAAATGCCCAATGACAAATGGAGCCATTCTTGCACAACCACCGTACTAGTCTAGTTTGAGGACCAAATGTGGTCCCCCACCTGCTGGTCCCCCAAAGGGAAGGACGCAAATTTTTGTGTATTTTTGCTTTCCCTTCAGGATAGGAGAGGCAAACAGCTTGATGGGAATACATGTTGCTGCTAATGTTGTATTTTTTTTTCTTTCAGAATAATGAACTCTCAATGAAAAAAATTAAATGTGGAATCACAGGAAAAAGTTGGAATTAGAACCCAAGCCTTAAAACTGAATGAAGACCCTCACACTTGTTGCCTTTGTAAATCAAATTGGAGTCGTGTGTGGTTGTAGGCGTATGGAGTAGGAGGAGGGGTAAGAACTAAAATACCCTGGGAAGAGATGAGAACGAATGCAGAGTCATGGCTTACTCTGTACAGTGAAGCTGGGTGCTTCCTGAATTAATAAGAGATATTATTTACTGAATGTGTGAAAAAAGAAAAAGGCCACTTTGTAAAGTCTTTTTCTTGCAACTTTTTAGTAATTTTCTCTATGTTTTTATGATCTGATTCCTTGCTATAGCACTAATTCAATGTAATTTTCGAACAGACTTGGAGGGGCAGTTATGATACAGCATGCTCACTAACTAGCCCTCTGAAAAAATATGGCAACTTCCATTGATACTCTCCCTCTTTGGTTTCACTACTAGGAAGTAACTTCACACCATGTTAATCAATATTTTGCTGGATTACCATATAATCCAGTGATGTTAAAGATATAGTTCATCATATAAACCTGATTAATTGAAGAAAAATATAATTTCTTATTGCTGATTTTATGAGGTTAGAAATAGCATCCAATGCTAATCTGCAATGCCAAGAAATGAAGATGGCTTAAATCATATCTCATGACTAATGCATGAGTCCCAAAGTTCTTTTATTCATGGCTATGTTAGAAAACTGGGGTATATTTTTTACCCTAAAAACGAATTCTATAATATTTATTGAGATAACACAAAATGCCTTCTTATTGATAGCGCACAATCAAGATTTTATTCTGATGATAACAGAAAAGTTGTTTCTCTATTTTAATGTTTTAAAAATTATGAAATGGGTTAAGCTCAGAATCAAGAATATTATATTTGATCCTTAATTATTGTTTTTTAAAATAGTCAATATCTGGAAATATGATGGAAAGTTTAGATTGCTTTCTGTAGTCACTATTTCATTCTAATTGTACTTGTGAATTCATTTAAACAGAAAGAAATATATCTACTAATAAAGTAATCCTGTTATTTTTGCCTGTTTTTGTTTTGGTCATGACAAACTGTGAAATGCTGTGTTTTTCCTAGAGTTCTAGTGCATGAAATCTGCAATCTTTCCACTTGATTTACGAAGGACCCTTAATTACTGCTGTCATTAGCACCTAGTGTTCAAAACAGTCTGTTAAAATGTACTGTTAAGTCTCACCTTCAAGTCCCTGCTTCTTTAATTTCTTTTCCAAGGGTAAGTAAAACAATAATTGCCTTAATAACAACAATCATACAGTAAATTAAATAATATTCCAAGTTTTTTTTTTTTTTTTTTTTTTTTTTTTTTTTGGTGCCTATGTCTTTTTGTTCGGGATTAAGCATGCACGTGTGTTAGGACTGGCCTAAAATGTGAACAAGTGTCCATCACAAGGGTTTGTTCCTAGGGGCGACTTATTTACCTGGGTTTTAAAAACAAGTCACTCCTCTGCCTTCTTCTTTCCACTTGGATAGGGCTGACAGACAACTGCTGGGAAGCTTCAATGTTTCTGCCTGGTCATGCACAGTTCTGCAATATAATGCATAAATGTATAACAGCAACTTGGGCTAGCTTGATACCTCCCTTGGAATAAGGAAATCCAGCCAGGCATATCCATATGACCCGCCCCCTTTCCGTCCCCCCGCGCGCACGCGTGTGTGTGTGTGTGTGTGTGTGTGTACACACACACAGGTTTAAAGTTAATTCATTCCCAAGATCCCCCAGAATCTTTCCTTTTCTCTTTTCTGGCAGCTCTGGTTCCTAGCCTGGGTTGTAGTGAGCTTGGGGGCGTGGGAGGGGCGGGAAGCGGGAGGCCAGGGAGGCGGGAGGCGGGAGCCGGGAGCCAGGCGCCCGGCGCCGGTGTGTGTCGCGCCCGCTCCTGCCGGGTGAAAGTCCGGGCCGGGTTTTGCGCTGTGCCCCCGGGCTTGTCTCACGGCCTCCAGCCGCCGCCGCTGCCGTGTTTACTGAGCTCGCGCGTCCTGATATCACTCCGCTGGCATGGAGGAGGAGGAGGAGGAGGTGGAGGAGCGAGAGGAGGCGGCGGCGGCGGCGGCGGCGGCGGCGAGCAGTTGATCATTGTGATGGTGGCAGGAGCAGCGGCGGCAGCGGCAGCCCAGCCGAGCGTTAGGGGCTGCTCTCCGCGCGGCGTTTTGCAAAGGACTTCGCCGATCTACTTTTGCAGTCGCCTCGGACTGTCCATGTGTTTACTTCCCCCAGCCCGAGGATTCGCTATCTAGGATCCTGTGAAATGCAACTGAGCAGCCAAAGTACTTTGAGAACACGGGGCGGCATAAACACCAAAACTTTTTTGTGGAAGGAAAATGCAATAGGCAAGCTTGCCGTTTTCCGATGCGGCGTGGAGTGAGTGTGTGTCGCGCGTGTCCGCACTGGAGGCATATGCTTGTGTGTGTGTACATGGGGTGTGCTTTTCGGTACGTAGGGAGAAAACGCTTGCCAGCCACCGGAAACCTCCTGGAATTTATTAGAAAATAATGGATTATCAAAAGAAGGCAGGAGAGGAGCGGATCTCCCCTTGAGTTGCAACCCGATTTGCTGCTGGCTCAGTTTTGTTGTGATTCTTTTTTGTTGATAGGTGTCTGATGGCATTCTGATCTCCCCCTTTTTTTCTTCCTTGAGCTTTACAGTTTTTACAAAAAAAAAAAAAAAAAAGGGAAACAAAAAACCACCCCAAAATCTCCCCCCCCCCTTTTTTTTTTTGCCCCGTCGGGATTGCTGTTTCCATCCATGTGCTTGCGTCTCCCCCGCGTTCCACTTAAACTATTTTAATCCTTGGACCCAAGGAGGAGGCTGATAGGGGGGGTGGATAAAAAAAGTTCTTCCAAAATAGTGTGCCCTGGGAGCAGGATGGGGGATTTCGCAGCCCCCGCTGCTGCTGCCGCTGCCGCGAATGGCAGTAGTATTTGCATCAACAGTAGCCTGACCAGCAGCAGCAGCCTCGCCGGGGCCGGGATCGGTGCGAATAATACTCCCCATAGCACTCCAGCTGCTCCGAGTAGCAGTCACCCCGCTGCCGGCTGTGGCGGCGGCGGCGGCGGCGGCTCCGGGGGCCACGGCGGCGGCTCGGCGGCCGTCCCCAAGCACAGCACCGTGGTGGAGCGGCTCCGCCAGCGCATCGAGGGCTGCCGGAGGCACCACGTCAACTGCGAGAACAGGTACCAGCAGGCTCAGGTGGAGCAGCTGGAGCTGGAGCGGCGGGACACGGTGAGCCTCTACCAGCGCACTCTGGAGCAGAGGGCCAAGAAATCATCGGGCGCCGGCAAGCAGCAGCAGCAGCAGCAGCACCCGAGCAAACCCCAGCAAGATGCGGAGGCTGCCTCGGCCGAGCAGAGGAATCACACGCTGATCATGGTGAGGGCGCGCGGGCAGGGGCCGCGGGGCGCGCGCGCGCCTGGGGAGGGGGGGGGCGTGCTGCTGGAGCCGCTTACATTGGGGGGCGGGGGTCTGGTGTGCACGGCGGGCGACGTGGGGCCGAAGGGTTCATGTGGGCAACTTTTCCGAGAGGGGAAAAGCCGCGGCCGCCGCTACCTGTTCATCTGTCAGGGTTGTCAGATGTGGGGAAGAGGGGGCGAGAGGGGAGAAGCCAGTCACGACTGCGAGGGGCGGAGGGAGCCTGGAGGAGCCGCGGAGGGAGGCGCTGGAAAAGTTTTTTTTTTTTTTTTTCTTCTCTTCTCCTTTTCTTAAATACGGATTTGAAAGAGTGTGAACCCAGAGTTGAAACCTCGCTCCTCCTCTTCATCGGTCCCACCCCACCCCACCTCTCCCCTCCCCTCGAAAAGCCGCCTCGTCTGTCTCCCCAGACCCGTCCCCCTTCGCCCACCCCTCTCCGCACATCCGCTGGGGTCGGGGAGACATCGATGCTGTCGCGATTCCGGGCGGGCACCAGGCCCTCAGTCCCTAGGGGGGCGAGGAGGGGAGGGAAGCAGAGGTTCTCGCCTTTTCTCCCCAGCTCACCCCCTTGGGGTTGAGAAAGTCTGAGAGTTTTGTGAATGAACTTTGAAGTGGGTGAGAAGCGAGCGAGGACGGCTGCGGCGCGCCTCCGCGGGGGGAGCGCGCGCGGGCGCGGGGCGCGGGGCGCGGGGCGCGCTCCTCCGCGGGGCGGCCGGAGCCCGGGGTCGGCCCGGCAGGTGGAGCTGCGGGTCGGGGTGAGCAGAGAGCGGCCTGGGCGGGGGCGGGAGGGGAGAACTGAGTCTTCTGTCCCCGCAGTCCCCCCCACCACGCAACTTCACTGGGGATCGTGTCCCCTCCTCCTCCTCCTCCTCCTCCTCTCCAACTCGCGTGCACACAGCTTCTCCGCCTGGACCCCCGCCAACTTCCCGGGCCCGCACCGGCGCCCGGAGGAGTGGATGGGAGCGGGGAGGTGAAAGAGGCTTAAATGGCTGGGTGGGTGGGTTCGAGGCAGACGGAGCAGCCAATGGCTTAACTTCTCCGGGAGGAAGGGGCAGTCCCCACTCCCTGATCCAGAGGGTAGAATCCTTTCTCTTATCTGCTCTCTCAGGTTCTTCGGCTTTCCTTTCGGGGTGGGGGACGCGGGGGGGGGCGGAGGCCGGAAGTTCGGGAAGGTGTCTGCAAGCCCCTTCCCCCACCGCTTTTGCCACCCGGGTTAGGGAGGCTCGGGGGTGCGCCACGGGCTGGGCGGTGGGGGTCTGAGAGCGCGGGGCGCCTTTGCCCGTGCCCCCGGCACCCCGCACCTCCACCGGTGACCCTCGCCGTGTGCGGAGGGTAAATCGCACCCGTCCCGGGTGTCGGGTCCTCGGCGCCGGGGGCGGTGCGGTGCCGCCGCGGGCTAGCGCCGGGCGCTCGGCGACAAAGAGCCGGCTTGGGGGAGGGGAAGAGGCTCGGCGGCCTCCCTCGCTCCCCACCCTCTCCACGCTCTCCACCTCCCCCGCCCCGCACGTGAAGAGGAACAATTTGTTTATCTTGGCCTTCAAGAATCCTGCCCTCCTCCCCGTTCTCCGAGGCCGCCCAGCCCCTCCTCCCTTCTTTCCCTCCCTCCCAGGCGCGATCCAGCCCAGTCCCGCCGGCAGCACCTTCCTCCTCCCCTTCCTCCTCCTCTCCCCGATCGTCCTCCCGCAGCCCGCTCGCCCCCACCCTCTGGGACGCGGCCGTGGGGGAGGGAGCCAGCAAGCAGCGCTTTGTCCGCCTGGCGGCCCCGCTCCGTCCCGGAGGCCGCGGGCAGGGCGGGGCGCAGCGCCCCGGCGCCCTGCCCCCGCCCGGTGGCCGCTCTCACCCGCTCCCGCCTCCGCCCTCCTCCTTCTCCTCCTCCTCCTCCTCCTCCTCCCCCCCGGCCCCGGAGCCAGCCCCGCGCGCGAAGAAGAGGCGGACTTGGGGTTGAGGAAGAGCGAGTGTCAGAGAGTCGGGGAGGGCGGTGCTCGCGTTACAAACAGGAAGCCTAAAACCGCTGGCACCCTGTAGCTGGTCTGATGGTACCCGGAGGCGGGGCAGGCCCTGCCTCTGGCCTGGATCTCCCGTGCCCTCGGGGGACCTATTTCCCCCCCCCCCCACCCCGTCCCCCGATCCGCCCGGGCTCTTCTTCCCGCCCCCCTGCCTAGCGCCCATCCGCAGACCCGGAGACCCACTTGGTGAACCTAACGATTTGCTAGGCACTAAGCCTTAGTGACTAAGGGTATCCTCCTTGCCTACTCCACGTCTCCTTGTCAGTGTTTGTTCGCGCGGATGGCGCAGACATGGGCTGTGATTGTCAAGCCCCCAAATCTCAGCCCCACGCAATCTCCCCCCGACCTCTGGGGTGGAGAGCTGCTGTGGATCTGACCTCGTCCGCTGGGCACCGCTGGAACAAAAGCCAGCGCCTCCCTCTGTGCTCCGTCGCTTTACCTCGCGGAGCGACAGCAGCAGAGTGGACGGGCAGAAAGTTTTTGTGTTCTGGGGGTGTTCTCTGGAGGATGCCCCGGGGGCCCTCGGAGGGGCCGAGGGGAGGTCTCGGGGTGCACGCGCCTGTGTGCAGGTGGAAGCAAGCCCAGGATGCGGACTTCACCTGGAAGGAGGAGGGAGCAAGCTCCAGCCAGGGCTTTACTTTTGAAAATGGAAAAATGCTCCTTGCTTGAATGGATGGTGTGCAGAATAGGAGTATATGCTAGCTTCGGCTGTATTTCACATAGGCATCTCTCGCCGATACGAGTAGCAAGTGTGTGTGCTGAGTGTAAGGAAAAGAAACAGCCTTAAACCTTAAGCAAAGGATTGCATGTAAATTCCATGGGCCACAAAAAGGAAACAAACAAAAAAATCAACACCATCTTCTACAATTTACTTTCCTTTAAAAATAGTTAGGAATTCACTCTGGCCCCTGAAATGAACGGGTATTTTAACTTAGCCTGTGTACGAGATAAACTCTTGAAAAAGGGGTCGCAAAGAAAAATTGATCTGGTTTTCCTCGAATTGGCTGCTGGCTTATAGTTGTGCTCAGGTAGGGCACAGAGCAATTTACATTTAGTTCACACACTGGGCCCTTTATTTGGAAATCCCTAAAGAAAAGCAGTCGTCAGTCAGAGCTGAATAATAATAATAATAATAATAATGGTGATGATAAAAATAAAGATGAACAGGCTCCTTTTCTGTTTTATTGCTATTGTTTACCTTCGTAGAGCCAATATGTCCAAAGTACTAAATATTGATCCGTTCTCTTTCTGCCTGGCTTGGGTTAAGAAGGCTGTCTCATCAGGCCTTTACTTCCGTAATTTGTTTTCTTATCTTACACATTTACACGCATATGCATGAAAAACAAGCAAACAAAAAGCTGGGGGAATGAGGTGAAACAGAATCCTTCCTTGGCTCCAGACTGCCGGGAGGGGCCTGGGTCTTGCTGGGTCTCTAACAGCCCTGTTAGGAGGCCTGGTGCACTGACCTGCGTGGGAAGGGGCATTACTTGGACATGTAGTCAGATGCTTTTCCCCTGGCACTCACTTTTATTTATACGGAAGTGTTCCCCTCCAAGATTTATTGGTGAGACCTATTGGTTTCACTTATTAGAGAGTCTCAGTTGAAAATGTGCCCTTTCCTAAAATAGTTTTAATTATTTGTGGTAATAGAAGGAGACATTGTTCACTCTCTGTCCTTGGAACTGCACTCCTGCTTAAAATATGAAGGTATATTCCAACCAGCAAAATCATTTCAAAGCCAGAGATACATGGACTTGACAAAGGTGTAATCACTCAGGCACACCAAAAAGCATGACAATGCAGTCTTCAGAATTGCAAAATGGTGGTAGTAGGCCTTGACCTGGCTAAGTTTCCCAGTTTTCATGACCTTTTCACTACATTCGCACCATCGTAGTTTTCAGAGCATGCTTAATTTATACCCAGCTCGCGGACTGCAGGGATCTAGGCGATTCCTGCTCTGAAGCGTTTATCCCATAAAATTCATTTGGTGGTAAACATATTAATTATTGAATGTTAGAGAACACGGCAGCCTATCCAGAACATTCTCATTCGTTCCTGGAATAGATCCAGGAAATGCCATCCTATCAGTCCATCGCTAAAGCTCCTTATAAATGGATCTGGTTTCCTGTTTCTTATCCCATTGGAGGTAAATCACTGGCTCTCTATCCAGTTGTTTTTGCAAGCTTGTAATGTCAAACCATTTGTAAAGCTTTCCTCTGAACCTCTCGTTGGCTTCGCCTCTTCTGCTGTCCTGGATTATAAGATTGACAGGCATTTCTTCCATAGCCCAAGAGTGTACTTTACGTTTGTGAAAAACTTTTTTTTGAAATTTTCATTTCTCTGTGCTCCATAAGTGCTCATCTTTTCTTTTAAATCTCAAGAATCAGCCCCCCCCCCAAAAAAAAAAAAGCTCTAGTGCATATTAATTGTTATTTATGTCTTTTGATATGGTGCATTTTATTTAGTGCTGGGCAGCCAGTGATTGGGAAAGTAGAAGCAGAGTTAGTTAATCATTAATCATAATCTATAAAATGCTCTCAGGCTGAGTTGGTTCCCAGGGAAAGCTAAGTTTTCAGGCAGGTAATATATGTGACACTTTCCATCCTGTCTCATTAGAATTATAAGAAAGCTTTAGAACCTCACTAGGAAAAGAAACAGTCCAGGTACATGGTTTACTAATACTTCTGTAAGAAGAAGGATGAAGATTTTACGCCTTAAAATAATTAGGTTATTTTCTTAAATACTTCTCTGAGACCAAGAGCCAACTGTTGTTAATGAGGTTTCCTGACAGGTTCTTCCATTTGGTTTAGATAATAATGGGAGACATCTCTCCTAACCTCTCCCAACCCTCCCTCCCTTTCTTCCTCCCTCTTTCTTCCCCCCTCCTCCTTCTCTCCCCTTAGTGTGCTACCTACATGGAAGGAGTCTAGTGTAAGAAACCATGTTGCACATTAC